GTATCCGTCGGAAGAGATTTCGATATTGGCGACGGCGGCCTCCGCGTCCCCGCTTAGGCTGGCCTTCAGATACTGCAGCTTCTGCGAGGGAGTGAGTCCCTCCACGTCATGGACCAGCGACTTGAAGAGGTCTCGGAAGCCTTCCCAGGCTAGCTGATCGCCGTCAAACCTCGGCAAGCTTATCTTCGGCAGCTGGATCTGGCGCAACACTGAACTTGCGGCACTTTGCCCGTCCGCGGATCTCGTCGTCGGCATAAAGGAAGTGATACGCGACTTCGTGGCTACGTAATTATCCTCGGTCACCGCGTAAACGTCCTGCCGCATATAATCCGAAGAGTCTATTTTCTCGAAAGAGAGGATGGCATCGTGCGCATCCAGGAAGCGCGTCCAATATGACTCGAGCAACTCAAGGCGCGTGGTGAGATACGTGCGTGTCATTTTGTCCTTGCCGACTTTAATTAAATTGTCCCAGAAGCGCTCAATATATCCGGCAGTATTCATCTGTTTTTTAATTGCGAGATCCATCGCAGAGCGTTACAAAAAAAAGAGATGGCAAGATTGACAAGCGCGTTACGAAGCGCGATGGACCGCGTGAATTAGAGAGAGAAAGAACGAGAAAGAGAGAGAAGACGCGCACAGCTGATCGTGGCCCGAGGTCGTAGAGCCGGTAAGTGCGGGGTGCGGTACACGGCACTGTGGGCGCGGCAGGGTGCGCGGCACGGTACGCGGCACTATAGGCGCGGCAGGGTGCGCGGCACGGCACGCGGCACTATAGGCGCGGCAGGGTGCGCGGCACGGTACGCGGCACTATAGGCACGGCAGGGTGCGCGGCACAGTACGCGGCACTATAGGCACGATGCACTAAACGAGCGGTTATTCACTGAAAAGGTCTTAGAGTTTCGTCTCACCCTCGCGATCCGGCTCGAAGGACCAAAAATGTTGGCGACTCGCCGTGCAAATTTTTGCCGGTTGGAGGACGGCCGGTGGATTGCGCGGATTAGAGGGTGGAGATTCAAAAGAATGCTTTACACGTCACTTGTCTTTATTCACGGCACGCGAATCTGTGCCGTCGTTAACTGACACAGAAAACACAAATTACAAAAAAAGAAAGTACAAAGATATATTTCTCGTTGTCTCGATAATTGACGCGCATGGTACCGCTCGTCGTGCCAGTATCAGACTGGCCCTTTTGGTCGCGAAAAGGAATTTCGAGAAAAGCCCCCCTCCCTCGCTTCGAGCTCCTCGATCCACCCGATCGCGAGGGAAAGGGGACCGTAGTTCTCGTAAACATCATCGAAAAATGACCATATAAGGCAATCGAAAGCGGCGTGTACCGAGCACCAAAATAAAATGTTTTGATGGCTCGAGTCGCAACCTTCCGAAAGCCTCGCGGTCATCGTGCCAACGTCGTCTGTAGTGCCAGCGGAGTTCTGCCGACACTCCAACACGGAGCCATCACGCGAAAAAAACGGAACCAAAGGATAAGTCAAGAAGCCTGTGCGCCGTATGCCAGGGCGACCACTTTATTATGTTTTGTGGCACCTACAAAGAGAAGACGGCTCTGGCTCGCAGACAGTTTGTCAGCAATCAAAACCTCTGTTCGAACTGCCTAGGTCGACACCAGCTAACTGAGTGCGCGTCAAAAAAGACGTGCACCACGTGTGGCAGTCGGCATCACTCTTCGCTGCACGATGCCTTCCGCGACGCCGAGACCGCCACGACATCACATGTGGCTCAAGGATCGCACCCCGCCTCTGTCACGGTGCTGCTCGCCACTACTCGAGTCCGCGTCCTCGATTGCCACGGATTCTGGCATTCCGTCCGAGCGCTGATCGACCAGAACTCAGAGTCGTCCATCATAACGGAGCGGTTGGTTCAGCGACTGCGACTGCTTCGCATGCCCGCCGCCGTCAGCGTCTATGGACTCGGCGAGAAACGGACGGGAATTGCCAAAGGCAAGGTAAAGCTTACTTTTCGAGCGCACAACGGTAAGTCGTCCAACTCCGTCGCCGCCTTGATCTTGCCAAAACTCATGCTTTTCTCCAAAGGATGCCGCCGAAGTCTGCAATCCTGGACACATCTAAAGGACCTTTTTTTTTTTTGACTCTGGGGAAACCTCATGGTACCATCCGCCTCCGGGTAGAGGCGGGGGTTATGTGGGACTCCCTGCCCCGTCTGGCCGGCCCGCACATCCGCCTGGCCGGTCCGCCGTAGCGGGCCGGAGAGTCGAGATCGGCGAGCCGGGACAGGACCTACCGCACTAAAACCCCAAAGAATGTCCTTCACGGGCGTTATACAAGGGACGGCCAGGATGCTGGTATCCCATGCCGACTGGCCGCCCCCCCGCCTTATTTCTCCTTGGAAGGATGCCGCGGAAGGCGACACCCTCCCCCCGTCATTGTACGGATTCCTCGCGGTTGCGGCGCAGGGCGACATCGACCCCACGCCGCGCCTTTTCAAAGAGTTTGAGGGGCGGAGCCATGGCTCGAGACCTCCCGCTCGAGCCATCGCCCCTCGCCCCCCCAGTGTCGCAACCCCCAGACCCCCAACAGGGTGGTCCGGTTCGGCGATTTACTGAGGGGGCCCTCATCAGGAGGCTCCTCTCAGAAGGAGAGAAACCCCCTTCCGTAGACGGTGTTGCCCTCCCACCGGTGCCTTATGACTCCCGGTGAGAGGGCCCCACACGTCACGTCTCCGTCCTTGAGAGGGGCCCAGGCACCCCGGGCGGGAGGGCAATGCCCGCCCGCCAGGGACACGTGGCCTCCCCTCGCCCCCCCCCCAGTTGCGGCTCCCTCCGCTCCCGTAGGAGTTAGGATTTGGCCGCAACCAGGGGGGGGGCTCCTCCTCTGGGAGGACGATCGCCCATCCCGCGCCTAAGCGCGGGGAGCGCGACCGCTCCCCCCCTCAAGAGGCTGCCGGGGGGCAGAGTGCGAGCCTATGCCCGCACACCTCCCCCCCGACACCCTCATTCGGCGTCAAACGTTGACGCCGGGATTTTCTGGGCGCCCCCCCCCCGATCCCCGCCGCCGCAAACAGCCGCACCTCTGGGTACGGCTGCCGACGGCCGGGAAAGGGGAGGCACGCCCCCGCCCCTCGACCCCGTCGGAGGTGCCCTGCAGCACTCCTGCTCTCCCAGGTCATGCCCCGCCGGCCGGCGCAGATCCACACAAAGTGGACAGCGCGGGCCGGCGCGGCAGGCCCGTGCGATGTGGCCAGGAGCCCCGCAGCGACAGCAAGCGACAGAACTCCTGTCCACGGCCGAAGTGCACCGCCGCCACATGTGTCCAGGACACAGGCACCGGTAACACCTCGGCTGCACCTCCCTCCTCTCTCCCGTCGGTTTCGGTCACAGGTCTTTCTGGCGCCGTTGTTGTCGCCCCTTTCCGCCTGCGGCGACCGACGACCCTGGACCATGCCTCCCCCCGGACTTCGGTCTCCACCTCCAAGCCCGGTGGCAAGGTGTCGAGGGTTGGAGAGGCCTCTACTCCTTCATCATTCTCCTCCCCCCAACCCCCTTTCCTCCCCTTCGGAGCATTTGGGGTCCGAGCTGCCCTCACCGTGCTCTTCACCCCTCCTGCCCCTCTTCCGTCCGCATCGTCTTTCCTCCCTTTCTCTCCTCCAGCTTGCAGGAGTTTCTCTCCCGCCCTGTCGGAAAGGTAGTCTCTCCACCGAGAATTCCTGTCCATCTTCTCTCTCATGGCGCACCGCAGGTCCTTCATCTCCTCCTGCAGCTCTTTCGCCCATGAGAGAGGAGGCTCTGCCCTGTTTGCTCTTGCAAGGCCCGCTCCCTCTGTGTTGGTACCCCTGGTACTGGTGGTCGGCAACCAGGGGTCCAAGCCAATATTTTTTTTCCTTACCCGAGTGGAGCTGCCCTTCAGGTGCTTATATGCATTCCTCAGGGCTAGGTTATCCCGTTCCATTTCCTCCACTCTTTGCTCCACGAGGACTATGTACTTCCTCGCCCTGGTCAGATGGGCTTTCCACTTGGACAGATCCTCGTAGAGCAATTCCACTGTCTCCTCCTCCTCCATGTCTTCCTGCTCCACGACAATTCGATGGATGACCCTAGAGCAGTCCCTGTCGCACCAGCGGAGCATGCGTGATATTCGCATGCCACCAGCCTCTTCTTCTTCCTCCGATTCGCATGAATCCTCCGACTCGTAAAAGTCAGAGGACCCATACGAATCCTCCAAAGCCTTTGCAAGCTCTGTCGTCCGCCCGTCGTGTGATGACAACGGGGTGGGGACCGGGACTATACCCCCCTTCCCGTCGGGTCCTGACATATCCGAGGCTGCCTGGACCTGTACCTCCTTTATTTTTGTTTTCCCTCCCATATTTTTGTTTTCTTTTCGGGGTGGACTCCCCTAGGGCGGTGGGCCTAAGCCCTTTTGGCAACCGCCCGCTGCCATGAGGTGTACCTCCACAGGAGGTACCGACCACTCTTGGCACCCTTCGCAAGGCTATTCCCTTGCAAAGGGTGAACCCCCCACCACGGCAAAGTGATGGTCGACGGGGGGGGACATCTAAAGGACCTGGAGCTCGCCGATCCAGAGTTCAGTTCCGCGGATCCAATAGACCTTCTGCTGGGTGCCGACGTCTACGGAGTAATCATCTGCCAGGGCCTGAAAAAGGGAAGTTCTCAGGAACCGGTGGCACAACAGACCTCTCTAGGATGGATACTGTCAGGCATCATTAATGAGAATGCACGCGGCCAACGTATTTCCTCTCACCATTGCCAGGTAGAGGAAGACCTCACCTGTTTGGTGCGTCGCTTCTGGGAACAAGAAGAAGTTCGCCGGCCGTCTCAGCTCTTCTCTAAGGCCGAACTAAAGTGCGAAGAGCACTATTGCCTGCACCATTCACGCACTGCCGACGGCTGGTACATTGTGCGTCTGCCCACGATTGAGCCTCTGCCGGACCTAGCAGGAACAGTTCGCTCCGCCCGCCGTACTCTGCAACACACGGAGAAGAAATTTGAGAGAGACAGCGAATTTCGAACCATGTACGCGGAATTCATGCGACAATACTTGGACCTGCGCCACATGATGCCTGCTCCTTCGTCGACGGAATCGCATCCGGGTGTTTGCTACCTGCCGCACCACGGGGTTTTGCGTCCGGACAACACATCCACAAAACTGAGGGTCGTCTTCAACGGCTCGAGCTCCTTGCCAAACAGAGACTCCCTCAACAAATATCTCGCAAAAGGACCGAATTTGCTTCCTTCACTGACCGACATCCTGCTGCGTTGGCGACGTCATCGCTACGTCTTCATGACCGACATTGAGAAGATGTATAGGCAGATCTTGGTGCACCCTGACGACCAAAGCCTGCAAAGAATATTGTGGAGAAAGAACGCTAACAACGAAATCAAGGAGTACTGGCTGGATACTGTTACTTACGGTCTATCCTGTGCTCCTTATCTGGCAATCCGCACTTTACGCCAACTGGCCGAGGACGAAGGACATCGTTACCCGAAAGGAGCCATCATTCTGCTGAGCGACGTCTACATGGACGACATCCTGACCGGTGCGGAGACCATGAAAGAAGCCGAAGTCATGCTACAACAGCTGATTAATATCTGCAAGGCGGGCGGCTTCTCGCTTAAGAAGTGGTCGGCAAACCACTCGCTACTGCTGAACCAAGTGGGGCCCGACGACCGCCTTCAACAAAAGGCCAGATGGTGGCTGCCCGGCGCGAGTCACTCCACTCTCGGGTTACGCTGGCAACCCCGGGACGATCGCTTCGCCTTCGCCACCAAACGGATCAATCTATCGACCATCACCAAAAGGTCGGTACTTTCACTGACAGCAAAGATGTTAGACCCTCTCGGCTGGCTGTCCCCAATAACAGTACTGGCTAAGATCTTCATCCAGTCCACCTGGTTGCTAGACCTCGATTGGGACGCTTCGCTGCCAATCGACGAAGAGAGGAGATGGCTACAATTCCAGAGCGAGCTGCCTGCTCTGGAAAACTTGCTCGTACCTCGATGGCTGGGAGGCTTGGCTGACTCACAACGGGAGATCCACGTTCGCCGATGCCTCAGGGCGTGCCTACTCAGCTGTGCTATACCTAAAGACCAAAACAAAGGATATTACTAAGGTAGCTCTCTTAGCTGCGAAAACCAAGGTCGCGCCCTTGAAGCAAGTCTCCTTATCTCGGCTGGAGCTGTCTGCCGCCACTCTTCTGGCTCGTCTAGCCACCCACACCATACCGATCATCGGAGCAGACAAGGCACCTCTTCATATGTGGTCTGATTCCACCGTCACGCTCGGCTGGATCTGTGGGCATCCTTCGACGTGGGCCATCTATGTGGCCAACCAGGTCAGCAAAATACAAACACTGATCCTGGACCCACTGGCATCACGTACCAGGTCGGGAAAACCCAGCGGACTGTGTTTCCCGGGGGCTCTATCCTAGCGAGCTGGTTGACCACCCGCTCTGGTGGTAAGGTCCCGTATGGCTAGCAACGGAGAGCAGTCCTTGAACGACCAACAGCGAGGAGATGTCAGCAGAGGACCTCCCAGAGAGACGAGTCCGTGCTCACGTCGCCGCCGTTGCCGAGCCGAAGCCCGAATCGAAATTGCTGCTTTGCTACTCTTCGCTGAAACGACTGCTGCGGATCACTGCATGGTGCCGTCGCTGGTTGCTGATCCATCGCCAGCTCCGCCATGCGCAAAGTCAGCCTAGCGTGATCAGCGTCGACGAACTGACGGAAGCCCGCATCTCCTGGGTGAGGTTGATCCAGGCTAGAACATTTAAAGACGAGATTAGATGGCTGCGCAATGGAACGCCTCTGCCGTTGCGAAGCTCCCTGCACAAACTAAATCCTTTCCTAGACTGCGAGAGACTTCTACGCGTCGGCGGGCGCCTCAGAAATGCTCACCTGCAGTACAATGCCACTCATCCGCCAATACTGCCCAGCGAGTCAACATACACTCACCTCGTCATCGACGACCACCACCAGCGGACGTTACACAGCGGGACTCAGCTGACCTTGTGCTCCCTGCGCCAGGAGTATTGGGTCCCTCGAGGTCGCTCGCTGGTGAAAAGACACATCAACCGATGCAGTAGGTGCACAAAATGGCGAGCCGCCATCCCACAGCTTCTCATGGGCGATCTTCTGGTGCCAAGGGTCACGCCAAGCAGGCCGTTTTTGCACACCGGCGTCGACTACGCCGGACCTGTTTGGCTGCGAACGTCGAAGGGCCGCGGACACAAAGCAACTAAAGGGTTCATTGTAGTCTTTGTCTGTTTAGCTTCCAAAGCCGTTCACCTCGACGCAGCCTCGGACTACTCCGCCGACGCCTTCATAGCCGCCTTGCGCCGACTCATCTCCAGGCGAGGTGTCTGCGCCTCCTTGTATAGTGACTGCGGTACCAATTTCGTGGGTGCTGACAGGCAGCTTGGCGCTCTCTTCTCCGCCGCCAGTGCCGACGGACATCGCATCGCCGCATTCGCCGCACAAGAGAAAATCCGGTGGCACTTCAATCCACCGACGGCACCGAACTTCGGCGGCTTGTGGGAAGCCGCCGTCAAATCTATGAAGCATCATCTGCGACGAATCATAGGTGATGCAACCCTCATCTGTGAGGAGCTGGCGACGCTGCTCTCTCAGATAGAAGCTTGCCTCAATTCTCGATCTCTCAGCCCTTGTCCGACGACCCAGAGGACGTAGCAGCTCTTACCCCAGGTCACTTCCTGATCGGTTCCGCTCTCTCTGCCATACCTGAACCGTCGCTCGAACGAGAGCCGTCGGCCCGGCTTTTACGCTGGCAGCTTTTGCAACAGATGAGGGACCATTTCTGGTCCCGGTGGGCCAGCGAATACTTACACACGCTGGCCCATCGGTCAAAATAGTCCCGAGTCAATTAGGAGACTCGCGTCGGTCGGCTGTGTTTGCTCCGCAGCGAAAACACTTCACCAACGCGGTGGCCGCTTGCGCAAATCACTCGATTGCACCCCGGATCCGACGGCCACGTGCGCGTAGTCGAAATCCGTACCGCGAGTACGAATTTAACGCGCCCCGTCAGCAAACTGATTTTTCTGGGCGACGGCAACGAAACTGCACAATAATTCAGCGTTATAAGTCTCACTCTTTTCTCATTGCAGCACAAAAATCATCTTTTCTTTGTCACTGCTCTATTCATTCCTCTTCATCGTCACTCCACTTATATTACACCGACCTACTGTTATCTCCTTTATCACTGCACTATCCTCATTATTACACTATTTGTATCATTATAATTCACGAGAGATCCGAATACCAAAATTGTCACGGTCTTCGCGACGCGTTAACCAATATGCGTCTATACCGTCACGTTCGAAATAAACAGTTGATCGATTCAGCATTCCTTTCGCGACATCAGTCAGAGCACGTGAGCTACACGTGTCTGTCACTCGCGAGCGCGTGAATAAGCGCGCGCCCCCACTCTCGCACTACAAAGTCGATTGCAGGTATACTGCAAAGCGGGCCGAATGTTCGAAAATCGAACGTCTAAAAAGCTGAAAGAATTAAAACAATTAAAAACAATGAAAACATTACATGCAAATTCATGCCGTACTCTCATTTCACATGCAGCATGCGTATAATTTATATTATAATACAGTCTATCAATTTCTATCTTTTAAATTATTCAGTTTCGTTAGGATAACGCATTGTCATCCGCGATTTGGCTCTTGTTGCCCGTCTTATACGTTAAATTTAAATTTCTATCTTAACATGCTGACGTTTCATATTATAAATAGCGCTCGGCCGCAAAGTTATAAGTATACCCCGCGCCTACGAAAAATAAGCGCTTACATTAAAACACATTAAATTGTAAACACCGCGGTCGCGCGAGAGGAGATACAATTTAGTTCCCAATAATAACAAAACTACGATTTGCTGGAAAGAAAATAATTACAGTAAACGCTTTTTCGCCCTCAACCGAACGATAGAATAAAAAAATGTTCGCGAATATTCTAGAAATACAGGCCTATATAAACCTCCTTTCTCGTGACCGCGGCGCTCTTTTCCGATTGCTTGTCGCGTCAAGAGTGTGCTTCTACTTTACGAAAAAGATCGCTTGTCTTTTTCACGTTTAATTACCGTTGCTTGCGGACACTCAGTACTTTATTTTCAACACGGCTTTTCTCTCGGTTATTGTACTTTCTAATACGTTCGACTCGGCTATCTTTTGGTACATTCTGTGCGGTTTAAATAATTGTATTTTTGTGTTAATAGTTTAAATATATTTTGTTAACAATACGCGTGTGTCGAGTGCAGTGCTTCTCTGTCTTTTCGCTTCCGACCTCCTTATCCTGCTTTCCGTTGCGCACACCTTGTATATTTGAAATATTAAAATAAAACTAAAATAAAATATTAATCAAAAAAACAAAAAAAAATGAAATTAATCATTTGGAAAAATAAAATTTATATTTGTAACAAAAGAACTTAAAATTGAAAATAAAAAAAAGTTAATTTAACACAAATTGCTATCAACATTGTACATCAGTTTGTACCATATTGCTAAAACAGAGTTATTAACGCAGAGTTATATAACGCAAAAGATCAGCAATTATTAGCCAAAAATCATTAAACTATCTATTGGAACATTACCAGAAAAGTTGTGTGCGGAAGACTAATAATTATTGTATTAAATATATAAATATGTATATAAAGAGAAACATTCAATATTTATCGGTATTTGCTTTTGTAGGCTGTTGTGTGCCTCGGGTGAGACACAAGGGGTCGCGCCAAATTAGGATGAGGATCCGGGGCGTCGGGACTTATTTCGGGTTGTTGAAATAAACGCACTCCACTTTTTATTATTAAAACTTTTATTTAAGTAAACCACTTGACTTTTATTTGTTTCACCACTGTTACACTTGTGCGTGTATTGGTTTAACGACACTGTTTAACTATAACTTCGCGTATTGCGCGCGACTGCGAAGGGATGTTATATATCGCACGCGGCTAGCGAGGTCGTTTAACTAACGACGCGAGAGCGTCTTGAGAGCGACTTATTGCGACTGCGACTGAGCGATTCGGCGCGTCTCTGCTTCCTTTTTATAATATCGCTTTTTGGGATTTCCTTGATCGGAAGGTGTGCCTAGCAACGGGCCTCTTTGGTCAAGGACCTAGGTGCAAGCGAAGCAGATTCAAAGTTCTTCTTCTTTGTTTGCATGTTGAGCAATTTCGTTTCGCGCATATCTCGCAGCGTATGCGTTTTTACGCAGTCAGTGTCCGTCGTCAAGCGGATGTAACACGAGTAGCTATTTCTTAATAGTTATATCTTTGAGGGATATAACAAGGCGTTTGCGTGTGCTAACCATATTTTTATGGGATTAGAAATTTGTTCGTCTGTAGCATTCTTGTGTACTTTTCTTATTACACCTAAAAAGACATTTTAAAAAATAATTTTTTATTAATAACAATGAAGAGAAATATATTTTAGATTTAATTTGTTAGAATAATTAAAATATAAAACTTTATAAAAAATCTTTAAAAATGTTCAACTTTTATATATTTTTTTTTTTAAAAACTCCATCTTCATCTCGACTAAGAGCCAAACGCGATGTTATTGCAACAAATTAATATTTAGAAATTTTTTTTTTTTTTTTTGGAAACTGAGGAATTTGAATCCTATGGTTGGGATCTCAGAAATTCCCTTGTTCCTTCTCTTAACATCCCCTGTAAGAAAAGACAAGAAAAATATTGGTCCGAAAGTCGGCTGAATCGGGAATCGAACCCGAGACCTTCCGCTTGCCGGGCGACTGCTCTTCCAGCTGAGCTATTCAGACACTTACAAATCAATATTTCTCTCAATGTTTATAACCCCCCACCCCCCACCAAGGCGTCGTACCTGGTCTAAACGCAACAAACATTAATAAGAATATAAATTTAACATATATAAGATAGGCAATAAGAGCCAAATCGCGGATGACAGTGCGTTATTCTAAACGAAACTAAATTTTTTCGTTAGAATTAAATACCTGTGCACAAGGCACCAAATTTTTACTTGGACACGGCCAAGATATAAAATTGGAATAATCTCTACAAGAGATTTTTAATTCCATGTATCCCCTATTCCCCCTAAAGAAATAAAGTGCGAGAGAA